GTATATCGGGCCACTTCATGATGAAATTGACAATTGTTGATTGATTGTCAAGAGTCTTGTAAACTAAACCCGACAAGAAATTATCACGGCCGTTTCAAATTGGCTGACAGTTCGGTTGCATCAAAACGAATGCGCAGCCAATGCTCCTCTCATATATATCATCAAATGAGTGGTTTCTCAAAAATTTTGTCTTCCACTTGTCGCACGTGGAACAAGTGGGTCACTTGGGACAAGAGTGGTAAACGTAGAAAATGTGGGGCACGTTGGACAAGTGAGACACGTGTGAGATACATGGGGCAAGTAAGAAGCGACATTTTTGAGATATTGTTGAATGCGTAAAATGCTAAAATCTAAACAAACCTTGATAAAAGCGTGTAGCCTAATAGAAATAATTTTGGACTGCCTGTAACTGTCACTTCATGCTGTAAGATACTGGTTCCATTGGACCATAGCGATTTCTTGAATTCAGCGAGCGCTATGGATCCCGAAATCTGTAAAATTACCAGGAAGCATAACAAAATTTTACAACATAAATTTAAATGTTCTTCTTTGTCACAAGTGATGAATAACATCTATATAACTCAGGGGTTCTCAACCTGGGGTTCGCGAACCCCCGCAGATTTCAGGGAGTACTTGGATGGCAGTCGAGTTTTTGTGTGTTGCTGTTTTTTAATATCCTTCATTACTACCGGAGGAAAATGCGTGCCGACTGAAACTGGATGCCAATTGAAACATAGATTTTCCTAGATCTTGCGTTGTTGTGATTGTGACGGAAACAATGTGAAATTCACGGCTTTGCAGGAGAACTGAAATTTCCAAATACAGTGTGCTGCAAGCATTGGAGAAAGTGATATCCTTATTGAAACTTGAGAGGGACTTTGAGAATTTATTAGTTAGGCGGAGGACTAGGGCAATATCAGTAAAAGGGAAATTAAATTTAGTTTTATCTGGTCAATAAATTGTTGTTTCAACAAATTGTTAGTCGATATATCACAACTTTGTTTGGTGTCAGATTATCGGGGGTTCGCGTTGATTGTTTCGTGACTAGGGGGGTACTTGACAGAAAAAGGTTGAGAACCCCTGATATAACAGATACTACAAATAATCGTACAATACCCACATTGCGGTTGTAAACATAGTAGAACACTGTAGAAATAGATGGGTCGCTTGCACCATATACATTGAAGGCAAAAAATTTGAGCGTAATGTCTTCTATTGCTATTGTTCCATCATAAGTAGAGTATGAACCACCACCGTCAGCTCCAGCATTTGAAACAGCCTTGAAACACATAGGAAAATGTTGGTGCTATTTTGTAGGTACAATCTAATCGATCGTTATTTTTAGAAAATAACTTACTTTAAGTGAAAACGAACTGACTGAACGATTCATATTTCCAACCCAAATTAACAAATTGAAAGGATGAGAGGTAGAAGACAGAAGTTCTACTCCGTGACTCTCGTTTCTGCATTGAGAATTTGTGATTGTTGTGGCATTTTTAACTTATAAACTATAAATACAAATTGACTCAATGGTTAAGATAATTGATCTTTCATATCATAAAGCATAGATAAAAAATATAATCGGGGTCAAAGAGTTATAAAAGTATGAACGGTATTTTAATGTTTCCAATGGCATATTTATGGAAAATCTTATGTGAAATAAGTTTATTTGACTGTCGTATGAACCTTTATTTAACTTGATATTTCGTGAACATGCATGAAGCCACATATACATGTTAAGTTGCATGTATTTCGGGATGGGTAAGACCTATTCACTCATTGTTATTCTGTGGTTTCTGTGTATAATACAAGTGAGAGTTCTACTTGCTTTTACCTGTACTTTTCATTATAGGTTACTTGCACTTCCGGGTCATCTCCGATTCGATAAAATATCTGCAAAAAATATAATTTATTCAGACTGCGGAAGTTTTATTATAAACAGGAATGGACAATTATAATTTCAGACAGGTTTATATTCAGAACATGTATATTATCTTTTGTGGGAGCATTTTGAGATCTTCATGCACTTCATCTGATAAAAAATAATTCAAGGTTTATTACTTTATTTCCACCATCAAACATGTCCGATCCGCTATCATTGATATGGTTCTGTACACTTCCGCTGAAATCGTATCTATATTCATGAAACTGGAATACCGAGGACCTGATATCTTCACCAGAACTATTTAATGCTTCTATCATTTTTGTTAAAGAATTATTTTTCAAACCTGGAATAGAACGTCGTATTTAAATATAAATAGTTATGATGAAATATTAAATATAAATAGTTATGAAGCCAGATATGTATTTTTCATCTAATATGAATAGCGTTAATTTATGATTCGCTCAATGAATAAGTGGCTGTCGGTGCGAGTGGAGAGCCTGCAATTTCATATCTGATAACCTTAATATAGATCATATAATAGCCGGCAAGCTCGTACCATGCAACCATCCCTTTTTCACGTCAAAATTTCAAGGCGCATGCGGAAAGAATCAAATATAAAATTATAATAAAATATTGGTAAAAAACTTTCAGTATTCATAACAATCATGTCAAAAAATAAAATTATTTTCGTCACGAAATGTAAGTTTAGTGACACTGACGTGATCTCGATTTGGGCAGATAAAATATAGTGTATGGTGGAATAGCCCAAAGCCACGCCCAAATTTCAGGGATTTTCGTGTTACCGATTGACAGTAACATTGCATGGAAATAGACGACATAACATTAACTTTAGCACAGTATATCTTTTTTTCCATTGTTGACAAAATGCTGAAAATTGAATTGTACTAACTTACTAGAATCATTTTTATATGATTTGGTGATCTACAATCTAACATATAATATACCCCTTTATTAAAATGTAGTAATTTTTTTGGTAATTTTTTTTTACAAATTGAAATTAAACTTACTTGGCCCCAGATTTCTTTGCGCCAACGGGTAGTGCTGGCTGTATAACGACTGGAGAGTGCCACCATAGTCTCTAAGAAATCCTGTGTCGTGTAATACTTCAGAAAAGCTTTCTGCGATGCATTAGTTATTTCTACATTGCTCTCAACGTGCCAGATCATGACATCGGAAGTCTTATATGAACAGAAATTATGTCAGTTTATATTACCAGGTTGTCTTGAACAAAGAAGTAGGAGCATGACCGTCGTAACCTAAGGCCAGATTACATGTCATGCTTGTAGGCTTGTAGTTCTTGCGGTGTTTAGATGCGGTTGTCTGGTTATAGTGAACACAATCAGTCAGTAGTTGATTTTTTCACAATACTGAAAATCACTTTGTTGCAAACAGAAAGAAATTGAAATTTCATTTCAAGGTGAATGGAGGCGTGGGGAAAAAATATCCATGGAGCCCAACAGTAATCAAATCTATTTCTCTATGGGGTAGGTAAACGTCACACAGGCTTTGCGATGTTTAAATTCGATTGAGCACAACGATTCGGTGAGCACAACGATGCATAGGTAACAATTAGTTTCCACAATGTATAATGCGATTATGATGATTACTGTGATGTACGCATATTCCACAGACCACAGTGTTTAAAAATTTTTGCTTTCGAAGTTTGACCCCGGTCTTTCTGCCTAACCCTACGTTGTTCACGTTTTTTATGATTGCTTTGTCGCTCTACGCGAAATATTGTAATACTGTACTCCGCTGTTATTCAAGAGGGGAACCGACTTGCATATTATTTGTTCTTTTAGGGTAAGTGAAATTGCTTTCCGATTAATAAATGTCCATGTATAGACTGGAGCAAGTTCAATTTTCCCGTCAACCTCTCTGGGGGTACGGACTACATTAATGAGTTCAATTTAGTACTGGTACCGTACCACTCGTAGAAAAGTAGTAGAACTAGTAAGGTATGAAATATGTGAAGGTATGTGCGACTCAGCATAGTTGATGTTAGTGCTCAAATAATGTTTAATATAGTAGTAACTGGCACCGGTACTTGTATAGTGGTAGGATGATAGGGGCAAATAAGGAGGGGTTTGCAAGTGCAGTTTTAAGCACCTTGTGTCCACGACATTTTTGAGAGACCGTGATAGTGATACACTTCGGGTAAGTTAGAACAGTTTTCTTATGGATACAATTTTGATTGATTTTAAATTTTATCGTATTCTCTATTGATTTGTGCTGCGTATGATATATACTAGTAATATGATAGAGTACTAGCAATATAAAAATCCCTACATACCTTGTAATAACATGCCATACCTGAAGAGAAAAGTACGCCGGGCTTTTAAAATCTTTCTTGTGTGCATTTTCAGGTGTTCCAAAAGCAAGGTAATTTTCCCAAAGACCATATCCTGTAAAGATTCGGAACATCAACTGTTTAACCGGTTCATAACAAAAGTTCTGATTTGTTAGATCATAAAATCTTGATTCTCAAATTCTTACCATCGCGTGTTCCGATTGATTCCCCCGTATATTTATATTTTACACCACTCTCATTTTTATGAACACTGGCCACCAAGGTCCATCCACCTCCATGTCACAGAACACCTGGGAATGAATTTTTGAAATCCCACATCAGTGTGGAATAACTGATTAAATATTATTCTGTAAGACACATTGTATAAAAATGACCGACACTGGTCACTGGCAAAACTTTGTAACAAAGGATAGTCTATACGCGAAAAACATAAAATTTTCCCTGATTGTGATTTGAGCTTGTGAGCATTATGAAAATACATGACAATATCCGAAAAAGGCGCTATAGCTTAAGCTTGTGAGCACTGTAATAATACATATTGGGGACATGCACGCAGTAGAAGTACAAACAATAACGCGATGAATATGAGCTAAAAGTCCATGCATTCTAGGTATTTCATTGTTAACCATCTTTGCAAGCGTTCAGGTATCAGCTAAGTAAAGTTTATGACTAATCTATTCAGTAAATTATTATGTATCTGCCAGTCTATATGATGTTGCGTTCAAATTTGAAACTAAAAATGCAAATAATATTATTCTCTAAATGTAGAATGCAATGTGCAACCTTAAAAAACGACGGTGATGAAGTTGGATGAATTGTATAAAATCCAGACTGGTTTTGGCCACCTTCTTTTATACGGAAACAAGAACTTGCTGGCGTAGAAGTTTTTGATAACTCTGATAATAAAAAACAGAATTTGGACATTAACACTACTGGAAAATATCGATGCAAATGATTTTAGGATAAGGTTGTACCCGGGTTTCGGATATACTTAAGTACATTCATCTGCGGTTATGGACGGAGTGCCATATTCGAAATTACATTCGACAAATGGTATATTCTTTACTCATTATGTATGGACAATGTTCTTAATAGTAAATTAATTCACTTAGATTTTCAAATTCACTTCAACATCCGTGCGCAATCTTTTATCGTCTATATGTACAGACTATAATTCATACATTTTTAGCTTCAATTAATCCTTTAACTGTTTGCGTTTGGCTCTGATCCCGTAGTTTTGAAAATACCTAAGGGAACCTAGCAAATATTAGTGATGACAATTAAATAATTCTTACTTTCGATCGCTCTCCAAGGCGGTTATCAACCTGTAGAAAATAATTGAAAGAATATTAAAACGCCAATGCTTGTGGGTGCGCAAAATGCAATTAAACATAAAATATTCGTTTTGTTCATTGTTAGCTTCGAAATCATCAAAAAATGAAATTCGCGAGCGCCAAAGAGAATTAAACAGTAAACGTTCCTACACTGAAATATTCAAAAACATTTTTCATTTTACCTGTATAACAAGGATGATTCCACATACTGATAATCAATACTTATGACGACAGCGATAGATAAGACGACGTTGATAGGTGTGCATTTTGGAGTTTTGGTCTCGACAGTGGTATTGTTTTGAAGTACCTGAAAAAGAAATTAATCTTCACATGTCACACGCAGTCATTGGACATTTTAACTTTGTTAAAATCTGCAGCTGTAAAGCTATAAGAAGAACCAAAAATTGCCTTTTATCAAAGGTTTTACTACTAGACGAAATTCTTTTTTTAAACCATTTTTTTTTAAAGCAACATCTCAATCAATAAATTATTAGTTATTTGCAGATTAAGACACTGCTTTGAATTTACCACGGTTTCGGCGAAACACAGTCTATAGCCGAGAGTTAGTTAGAGACACCTAAATAAAGAATAAATTTCAGTTATACAGCCAAATCCTTATGTATCAGTGCCACGTCCACAGCAAAGATATAGAAAACCCCGTTTAGCTAAAATACAAACAAAAATTTCAGCACTCACTAAAAGGACACTTAACTTCTAAACATTTGGGAAATTTACTGAAATATCACTCACCTCCATTCGAGTTACCCTGGATGGCGCGTGGTTGTTCGTATGTTACATTCTCGTATAGGTCTCCCTCCGTTTCATTTAAAGTTTCTTCGTTTGCATTATATCGGTAGTCAATTGATGGGTCCCTTCTTGAAGATGGTGGTGGAGCAAATTTATGGCTTGCCATATTTAATAATAAAACCTAGACAAACGATTTCCTATATTGTCTTGCAAGCGAACTGACTTAGTGGTCGATAAAATGAGACAAGCTCGTCATACTAGTACACGTATGTTGAAATATTTTTTACCAAAAAAAAAAAAATACAAGACTCCGACTCTACAGTTTTGTAGTTAATACAATAATGAGGCAAAACCGACTTCTCAGATTTTAATATATTTATCACACCCACGTCGCCGCAACCAACGTAATATTGTTTCCTCGTTAGAAGGTACCACTAACTGTACAGGCACGATTGCTTTATATGAATTACAAATTCAATATTTACGTGTTGAATAAAAAAAACTACCTTATAACCCGGGCTTCCGTCGGATTGCACCAATAATAAAAACTAAGGACGACAGTAGGGCGATTTACTGTCCTATTGTGACCAATGCCTGATTCAATGTTACGTGTTGAATGAAAAAACTCCCCTATTAGCAGGCTTTCGTCGGCTTGCACCAATAAAAAATAAAGATGGTGGTAGGACGATTTACTCTCCCACTGCGACAATGCCTAATTAAAATTGAATAAACTAACTTGGAATAGGCAATTATTTGTTTCTATTTAAAAAAAATCGACTTTACGTATGATTCCATATGCGAAACTGAAAATTGCGAAAAATGAAATCGTTTCATTATTTCAAAAATCATTCAAACCATGAATCGTTGGAGATCAGAGCTAACTCATTTTACCACCATCGTCAACAGTTCATTTTGACTTATAATGTTAAAAATATATGTCGAGTATAAAACACACTAATGGCGCGGGTTTTAAAAATCATAAATTAAAGATAGGTATCGCCCTGTCAGTAACAGATATAGGTATATGTTATAGTATAACCTTATAAATGTGAATTGTAGACCAATTGCAGTATAATATGAGGAAGTGGCCGCAAAGTCACTTATTGTCACAGCATCGCCACGTTTATATAACAATCATTGAATGATGCGTAATCTCCCCCGCCTCCTTGATTTGAAATATACTCGACCTCTTCACCGATTGACAAACTATATAGGATTGTGGGCTACATACTATGAATTTTGATATATTAGGCCTCTTTAGTACCATTCAATACAAAACAGATAATGGGACTCGGCGATGTCTGATGGTATATTTGTGCATCTCATATTTATCACGGCTCTGCTTGGAATAATTTGGTTTAGTGTGAGCCATTTTTCGAAGTAACTAACAACCTTACTTACCCATTTGAACGAAATGCCACAGCTACGTGTGCGATAATTTGGTGTGACGTGAGCCGTTTTGTTCCAAGTAGCCAAATGACTTTAGTCATCCAATTTGAACGTAATGACGTCGTAAATCAACTTATTCGACGGCGACCGAAACCATGGAAGAATTCTCAAGTAAGTAAAGTTATCATCCTCACCGCCTAAAAGATTTATAGTAGGTTATACGGTATTGTGCACCTTCAATTTCTTCAACGTTTACTAACAAGCTGATTTTACGCGACTACGTCGCAGAAAACATCGCATCGCATCTGATAATGCCACCTCATCATAATTGTCATAGACACCTAGCATACGAGTATAAATAATCACACGAATATAGGAAAAGGGCATTTTTTCCTCAATTTTCTCTTTTAAAGTAATATCGTACGTAAAAATCACTAGTTTATATGATTTTTAAGTTTGACATAAAATTATATAAATCAGTTATATACACCGACCTCTTTTCAGAGGTGACACAATTGTCGAAACAATAAATTTACACTACACAAAGTGTACTGTACGGTGAATTCCATTGCTTAAATGAAACCAATATATCAATGGAATATATTGCTATATAATATATTGCACTTTTGAGGAAATATAATCTAATTTAACCAAGTCTACCCTATTTAGTATAAAGAGGTTATGGTATTTGGTTTTGGTTTTCATTTTTGTAAATTTATTGTGGGGTTGCCTACATAATAGTCAACCTCGTCAGGGGCTCCATAAAACCAATAGTTTAAGAACCCCTCGAGACCGATAAGCGATTGAATATATCTTGATCCCAGCTTGTGTACACAACATTATCAACAGTTATGCAATATAGAATTTTAATGACACATGGACTCAATCGACCAACCATTCTTAGCGTGGATTTCTGAAAGCGTTTATGCTATTTTCTGTGTCATTAAAATTCTATATTGCATAACTGTTGATAATGTTGTGTACACAAGATGGACAGGTTGAAAAAAGGAATTCAAATATGAAAGAGCTTGCTATCGACTTTGGAAACATACGTTGATATCTCAGCTTTAATCCTCAATTTGGTTACGTAGGCTACTCACCATCATAAATCATATTTGGCACTTACAAGAAGTGTGATATGTTAATTCGGCAATGCCTATTGACACACGGTCACGGTACTATTTTCAGGCAGACAGATAAAACATAGTTACCTAAGCCAAATACGGACCTCTTTTCAAAGGCGACACAATTTGCGAAACAAAAACATCACACTACACAATATATGTTGTACGGTGAATCTCGTAACTTAAATGGAACTAATATGTCAATGCAATATATATATATCAAATTTATAATATGGTGCCCATATTTTTGAGTAATTAAATTGGAGTTATATAGATAGCCTGCCACTCATGCGGAAATACATTCTAATTTGACCATGTCTATACCCAATTTTGTATACAGAGGTTAGGTAGCTCTCAAGAGCCCAAAGTTTCTTAAAGTGCACCATACCGAGACCCATGGCTCCGTAAAAGAAACGGCGCCGTGAGCTATCTGGTTTATTATTTAATATTGAATTGGCTAATTTTGTAACTTTCCAAAGAAACAATAACAGCATTGCGAAAATTTGAAACCGCAATATGAATTTGTTTTTTGGTTTTCATTTTAGTAAATTTCTTGTGGGGCTTCGTAAATAAGAGTCAACCTAGCAAGGGGCTGCATAAAACCAAAAGTTTGAGAACCCCTCTAGACCAGTGGCTCCCAACCGCCGGTGCCGGTCCGCGAGAAAGTTCGTTGTTTTGTTGTTTTTATGCCGTCTCAATCGCTTTACCGAATACAGGGTTGCGTTGGTTTATTACGCAATTTCTCTTCCGCAGTCCTATTGCGAAATCTTGGCGACGTCTTTCGTGACATCTTGGCGACGAGTAATCACATATTCCGCTTTTTCGGCTCCGATTAATCGTGAATGCGCTCCATCAAATCTCGCAAAATTCAGAAACCTACAAATTGGCAATCGTGCTTTATCTGTTCTACATGCTTTTCATGATTAATATGATCATCCATACAAAGCGTTATGCATATTTCTTTGTTTAAACCAAAAAAAAAGTCAAGAACAGTATAATATACCAGTAGGATATGAACTTGTTGCGACCCTGCACTTGGTCACGAGACGCTCAAACAAGCATGGGCCGCTAAGATCTTTTTCAGTATTTGAGCCTGTTGCCAGGTTACCGACGACCCTGTCATTGTAATGTAAATTCATTTCGTTTGAGGCGTCGATCAACTGGAGAGGAATTAATATGATGAACCAGATGAAAAAGAAAAAGCTTGATTAAAATTGAGATACTACTTTACAGTCCAATTTTAAAAAAGAATCACTGTCACAATTTTGGATGTCTCTTGATAACGAATACCCATTGCTAAGCAATCAAAATGTTGTCCGTATTTTCAACTAGTTACTTAAAAGCGTTGTGCGAAAAAATATTTTCATCACCAGCTCTAATTAAAACGAAATAAGGAAATTGGCGCCGCTGCAGAGCTACGTGTTGCAGAAACTTTTTTGAGGCCTCGTTTGCAATCCTATATTGAAAACGAAACTGTAGCGAAATTTTCACTGGAGTTAATTATGTTTGTACATGATTTTGCATGTACATGTTTTTATGTGAGATATTTTATGTGTGCCTTTCTTACTCACAGTGGATGCCCAGCACTGCATTTCATTACGCAAATATATGGTATTAGTTTGTGTTTCACCCATTTCAATTTTTAGCCGGCACATTATTTGAAAGGTTTTTGAGTGTGCCGTTTTTGTCTAAAAGCGGACATTGCTTTATATTACGCAAATAAATGCTATTCTTCTCCGTTCCGGTGATTTCAATTTTTTGCCGGTCCGCGAGAACATTTAATTTTACTGGTCCGACAGGGTGGAAAGGTTGAGAACCACTGCTCTATACCGATAACCGATTGAATATATTTCGCCACACTAAATGGAAAGGGTTCTAGGACAAAATAGTAAAAACGCTTCCAGAACTCAGAAACACCATGCGAAGTGTGGTTGGTAGATTGTGTTCATGTGTCATTAAAATTCTATATTACATAACTCCTGATAATGTTGTGTACATAAGATGGGAACGTTTAAAAAAAGGAATTCAAGTATGAAAGAGCTTGCTATTGATTCTGGAAACATATGTTGATATCTCAGCTTTAATCCTCAACTTGGTTACGTACTCACCACCATAAATCATATTTGGCACTTACAAGAAGTGTGATGTGTTAATTTGGCAATGCCTATTGACACACGTCCATGGGGCTTTTTTTTAGGCAGACAGATAAAATATTGAAATGAAGTCAAATGTGCACTAGAAATAGAATTATAGCAAATACAGCAGCAAGATGAACCATTATAAATAGCAGGAGTATTTCGTTAGGCCAGAACAACCAGCTTGGATGTTCTATACCTCACCTTGGAATGAACCAGTGGGCTACCGATGAATAAGAGTGCTTCAAACAAAATTATTTGTCAGTACTCTTTGTCAATTAAATGAAAATGTGTATAACCATTCAATCTGATGTTCATGGAATAACTCGAATAAAATGACCATGTTTATTTTTAATATATTTTAATAAAAAGTGGAAGTGTGAATAAATTTTTAAGTCAGTGAAATATATTGAAAATATACGGCAAATATATTAAGTAATATCAACCGAATACAAGCTATAACGAAGATAGACATTAAAGTGCGTTTATAATTGTCAGATATCACCAGACTATCGTAAAACATGAATAAATCTTGCTTTATTGTGGTCTTTGTTGGACTGATTGGCTTAGGACAAGGAGGTAAGTCGTGTACTTTTTTCGTGAGACATGAGTATTCACAAGACTAACATTGACTGAAAATAACAACGCTGTATTTTACTTGTTTTTAATCTTCATAATTACAACCTTGTATAAAACGAAAAACTTCATTTTCCATACCAGATTAAAACTCAAATAAAAATTGGAACTTGCGTTGAGTTTTTTTTTCATTTTTGTGTTGTCAATTTATCAGCACATGAGCATTGAAGCAAATCATTACAGTCACGTTAGATAAAAAAGAAAATTGTAACCGTTTCGAAGCCATCTTTACATTTATGTTTATTTATTCAAGCCCTGCGATCAACGCTTACGAGAAACAGAATAGAATACACATTCTGGACTGGTGACGTTGACCACGTATCATTCCATGATGCTGTGAGTGCCTGCTCTTACCGCGGAAAGCATCGTTTGGTAGCAATTACTGACGATACTGCGAAACTTACAGTATGGCAACTTGTTGAGCCATGGTAAATGAAGCTGATTGTTTTTCTTTTATGTATATTTAGGGGAATTTAAATTTCAATAAATCTGCCGATCAAAATTTATAGTTAAGTTAGTGTCATGCTGTGAGATATTAATATAAATTTGTAAGCGTTAGAGAGTAATTGTATTTTATTGTTCAAAGCAATTATTGTAAGTTACATTTCCTTGTATTGTTTTAATAAGATAAAGGACGAATTGAATTATGAATAAGTTGGTAAATAGTTTATTTCGATTTCTCATATAGATATCACAAACAGATATATAAAATACAACAGACAAGTTCGGTAAAGAGATAAACGTTTAAGAAGTGTAAAGCCCGTCTCCCACTGACTTTGGAATACTTAATCAACTATCTTTTTTTTATAAATGTAATGTATTGACAGGAAAACCAGAGACGTATGGATCGGGCTCTCAGACAATTTTGTCGAACAGACATGGTCATGGTTTGATGGAACGAGAGTAGACGCCGTACCACAATATTGGTTTGTACATGATTTTTTGTTTGCTTGAAGGATATTGTCATCAAATTATGACAACCATTGTAACAATTTGCGAATAAGCGCTGAAGTGGAAATACTTATTGCCGGTACGTCGTCCGGTTTCTCAACAAATTGTCGATTTAGTTAGAGCTTCACCATTTTGAAGTTTATATACGTTGCAGGGGTGCAGAGCCAACTTATGACGAAACACAAAACTGTGGATTTTCTCCCGATGGAAACCTCTGGTACGAACGCGTATGTGATGAACCACACGGCTATATCTGCCAAAGAGGTTAGTTAATAATTAGGTACATGTTTGGTATTTGCTTCACCAATATGAAAAAATTGAGTTATAACATTTCCATGACAATTTTAATGTCAAGATGACTTTGTCGTACTTGTTGATATAATTCCGATGAAATTTGGATCTCTAGCTCTCATCCCTTTACTGGCCGTAACTTCGCCTTGTTGTCTCCTTTATTTGTGAATGCGGGGACTGTGCTTTAGTCAAATATTTGTTGAAAAATTAAACTGCTTCTGCTATTCTGTCACATTAATAAAAGGTCATACTTTTGCCTGCCACAACTTTGAAACCTTTCATTTGAAGTCTTATATTTATTTGACACGTAAGTGTACATAACGATCGTTTCAATGTTATGTTGTTGTTCTTGTTCATATTCTTCGTCATGATAAAATCACTTTTCTCTTCGAATACTGGACCAGTTGCTTCGAAATTTTCCGAGGTTTGAGGATGAAATTTTTCTCCAGAAAGCCATTACTTTTATTTATTTCAAATATTTCAGTTAGCTCTGTGAGATTTGTTTTTGTTTGCTATGACGTCACCGAACGTTCTGCGGACGCATATGCTGCCATCGAACGTCGATGGTTCGTAACGAAATCCTTGCTTTGCTAAGATTTTTGGACTGGTGAATGGCGAATAGTGCCGTACTTGGTGTTATATTACAGTAGTGACTCGAACCATCTTGCAATTTCAGTTCACGCTGTCACAAAACAGAAACTTCTGAAGATAGGGCAGTTCCGGTACCGTAATACAGGGCGGTGACACCGAACTAACTCGTAACTGTCTCGTAAAAGCGGGGCTTGCAGTCACTGTTATAACTGATGTCTTTAAATTTTGGTGCTTTTCTTGGAATCGGTAAACGTGTCCATATATTTGAGCATAGCTCCCTTGTATTTAATTGGGGATATTGAAAAATAAGATTTTGCGTGTGAAACCCTAATCGTCACAGAGAAAATATCATTCTAAATAACTACCGGTATACTGTTTTTTTAAACCGCAGAAAACAAAATTGGTGATACCAGAGCCCAGCTGACACTTTCAAACGAAGAACCTACGGTATACGAATCTGGCAACGTCCAAATTGACTGTTCTGCATCCAGCGCACTTTCGGAAATGACCTGGTACAAAAATGGAAAAAAAGTTCATCAAGTTGCAGGAACAAATGGTGTCACTCTTGTGATAGAAAATGCAACAGTTGAAGACGCAGGATTTTATACATGCTCTGCTACAAAATTTGTTGATGGCTTGGAGCAAAAAGTGATGGCAATGGCCAAACTAGAAGGTAACATTTTTGCCAGTAGTGAGCCTCATTCATGTATATCAGATTAGACGTTTTCAAAGATACAACTGAGCTCTGATTGACTGCTTTAAATGAATTTATAAAGTTTTCAAAATCTCTCAACACTTATGTACTTTTTCGTCCCTGTAGTCTACTTTGGTAGAAAAATAAATACATTTGTTTTCTAACAGGTATTTATCTCAGCATCAGTTATTTTTTCCGCCTAGTATAGCACTAAAAAGCTAATTAACAAAAGTGAATGAAAATAACAAATTAGTAATTATTAAGTTGGGAATAGGATTTGTTTAAATATTTGAATTTCCAGTGCTATCTGCATTCCTAACCCAAACCCTGACTGGATAATTACTGATTTTCCTGTTTTGAACATTGGCGAGGCTTTGTACAACAGATCTCAATGGGCCAGTTTAAGAGACCCTTTCACGACAGTCATATAGTACGTTATATATATGTAATGTCTAGCGAGGTAGCGATAAGATAATTTGATAACTTTCTACTTTGTAAAAATTAAACAATGTTTTTTCTTTCCAGTTCTCCGTAAAAATTAAGACTGGGGAAAAATGAAAAATCGTAAGTATTCGATTATTATTTGGCGGAACACGTGGTTTGATTCACCAGTTATGATTATCAGTCAGTTCAAATTAATCCAAATATTCTAATGCTATTGATTTCCAATCCTTTGCTTCAGATATATGAAGTCAGAGATTTACATTTTTAGCGTTTTAATATATTTTGTTGCGTAATGTAGAAAACGATGAATTTTAAGCTGGCTGAAAGCATCGAAAAAAGTTTTGACAATGTTGTGCAATGCCGTCATTTTTGGACTGCTTAACACAAGATTCATTACATCTTTCCATTATTATATCTGGCATCTATTGTTCGTCTCAACCATTCGCTTTCCAAAAAAAACCTCTTAGTTGTATACTTCTGATAAAGAACAACTTTTGTATTGCAGCACACGGATGCAGATGGAAGAAAAACTAATTTTGGTGAAAATTATGATAATCTCGAATGATCTGTTATTATATTCTTTGATTCGTTGAATACCTCATTGATCATGCTACATGTGTGTGTGTTGACAGCTTCTTACTGTATTATCTATCTCCGTATTTCCATTGATAACGTGCCTTTCAGCCTTTCTTGTAGGAGTCGTGCCCAAAGTCTGGTCTACTAATATCTAAACAACACCAACTATTCTGAAGATTAAATCGAAATGTAATTGGTTGAAGTCAAATTATTATGGAATAAATAAAAGAATGAAATCAAGCTCTTTGTCGTCATGTTTATAATAGTCCACAGCCTAGAAATATAACGCGGTCCGCTCTCCATATAGCATAGGTCAGAATGGCTGGTATTCTCCTAGAAATTTAGTCAAGTTAGGATACTTCGTTTACCAGTTACGGATGAAATATTTGTTTGGCGGGTTCTTGTGCATGTGGTAGAGGGATTTACACGGGTTTTCGCGAATCCGTTCTTGGAATGCCTTGATGATCATCGAAACGTTTTTTTGACGTTAAACGACCGCAGCTAAACTGCTGACTAGTAGCGTGACATTTAACATTTCAAAAATTCGGTATTATATGCAGTACTGGATTACCGATTCAAGAAAATTTAGCACGTGCTCAGGGCACCAAGAAAATGGGGGAACCACAAAAATTTTAATAGACGATCTGCAATAGAATTTCAAGGAATGCATTTATGATAGAATGGAAAACTGATTAACCATAATCTAGTACGGTACTTTACATTGTTTAATTATCTCATATTTCATCAGAATCCGGGGAAAGATGGCGTGCGGCCTCGACGTAGTTTCAGAATGAATAGAAAGGTACATCGCACGCACGTTTTAGTGCGTTTCATCTTTAGTGTATGTGGCATGTTTTACCTGTCGCTGGGCTCTTAAGACAAAATTTACGGCGTTTTTCGTTTTATTTTTACTGTGACATCGTTTCAATCTGTAAAGATAATTAATGCCGCATCAGTTCAACCTGAGATGTTCTATAAATTTAGAAACAGTAAACCAGAGATTAGACCAGTGTTTCTTAAAATAAGACATGTTTGATATTTGTAAGAAATAATCAACAATGAGTGCGATACCATTTTACGTAACAATAGATGATTATGGCAGCTGTTCTCTTGTGCTTGTCTGATTTCCCTGGCAGCACAATACTCAAAACCACATTTCAAAGTTATACCTCGATTACAGTTAACGCATTTGCTGTAACTTGAAACAGTTAATTTACAAATAAGATGCTTTACTCGTTTTCATAAACTTACGGTTGTGTATGAATAAAAAGCTAATTCGTTTCTTGCCATTTCCAAATCATAAACAAATTACCTTCAAAAATATTACAATCAATGCAAACGATGTATGTTGAATAGTCGGTTGCAACCATGATCTCCGTGTCGCCATTTTCAATAGATTAAACTGTAACCGTACACACATGGATTATACAAACGGTTGTGTTACGACCATAGTGATCACAATCGAAGTCACACTATATGAAAATATTGAATCAATCAGATTATAAAATGTTATTTTTCAAAACTGCCCTCGTTTTCTAATGAGTTGGTTGGTGTATTAGATATCAGATATTGCTTTTTTGCTAAAATGGATTCCAGTGAATAGTTACATTTTTAATAAATCGAATATTCTAGTATCTCGCCCGTTGGCCCAATACCACATTTTCACATATATACTTATTTCCATGCAAGGCTGTATTCACGAAAAAAGCTCATTCTTCAGCTACCCCTGTCTGCTGCTTTCGAACATGTATATAATTTGTGTACTTATTTGAAATTCCTCATGATAACTATAAGTTTGTAAAACTTAATCGCCGTGAAATCCTGATGGATTCCTTTTAAAAATAACACAATACCTTCCTGCACAGCTGCTGTGTCATGGACGTGAGAAGAAACTCGAGAGTCGGCTTCTCTATGATCTGCGTCTTCTGTATTTATAGAAATAGTTCCAATTTACAACGAAAATCGGTAGTTTAACAACTGAGAACTCACGAATTCCTCGATATGTTGCTGTTTCCTTGGTTTTGAAAAGTGCGACCACGAATTCTTTAGGCTCAGATATATGTTTGAAAATATAAATAACGTGTAATAGACTGCTTGTCAAAATACAATTATGAAGCTGCTTCAGATTCATTTTATATTAAGCTTACTAAAACAGTGTTTCTCATTATCTTCTCAAAAAGAAATAGCAGGTGAAATTCACTTAATTAATGTGCTTCGCAGGGTACACCCAAAATTTATTTATCTGCACAATCGATGTGCTTTTGCGCCCTAAAGATACGAAAGATACCAATCTGACGATGAAATCTATTGAAACAAAGTTAGATATTATCGAATATCAATTGGGATATATTTTTGTTATCACCCAGAATTATCAAATTCCCATAGTTTCAATGATTGTGAGACTGAGCACGCATTGCAGCACCATATTGCAACGAGAACACATACTTGTACAAAAATGAAGTAAGTTTATTAAACATTGTTTACCCTTGGACTTCTGTTTGTGTATGATTATACCAGAACGTTACAGTAGTCTAAGACGCTTTGCACAAACGTTATTCTCTCCCTAGAACACTGGTTTTCAACCAGTGAGCCATAGCTGGTCCACAGGATCATTTTGAGGTGGGCCACAACCTATTAAAAATTGCTAGAGTTGCTGATAAAGTTAATTAAATTTGATGGTAGTAGCAATGGATGATGCTGTTTTTTGTTACAGGGTGGTAATTTTAACCTAATTATTATTAAAAGGAAAGTGTCAATTTTCGCAGAAAAAAATCCATGTTTTTCGTGAAGTTTTTCCCCAGCATGAAAAAGTTAGTGGGCTACAAAATTATTGTACAGCGAAAATGTGCCACGAAAGAAAAAAGGTTGAGAACCATTGCTCTAGATTTTAGAATGTGTTGTATAAGCTAAACTATCTTCAGGATGTTGGAGACAGACTTGTATACGCTGCGCAAAATTGTCTTGGTCCATTGGTTTTATGCTGAAGCGCACTTTCTGCTACCTGGGCATGTCAATAACAAAAATATCGTTTACAGGGGCACATCGGGTAGTCTTGCAGAGAATGTCACACCCAGTGCGCGGCATGTGTAGCCATTTGCGTACGAAATGTTCCGGACGAATAAGGAAACGAATATCAAACGGTGAATATGGAACATTATGTGACGGTGCTAGCGAAGTGCTGGATATTATTTGAACGACGTCGATGATTGAGATGATTAGTGGTTTCAGCAAAAATTTTTGTAAACAAAATTAGATAAATTTTCTCGAATTTCGAAGAAGTAACTAAGAAATTTAAGGGATTTGTTTCTTAGGTCACTCTGTATTTTGCTTATTCTTTGCGAAGTATTTCATTATTTTAACTTATATATTTAATACAGTATATCGCTTTAATCAAAGTTTTCATTTCAATGTCTTAACTCTTCAGGTCACAAAGACTTGAATACAAAACTTGCCTCCGACCAGTCCACATTCTTCTTTGGTGTCAAACCACATTTGTCATGAATGAACGAGGTTGATTGACTATGGGCATCTATAGCCATGCACAGTTATATACACTAATACAAATAGGCTGCATTTCAACTTAATTATTTTGCAGTTTATACAACCTTCCGCCAGCAACACTTCCAGGATCATATCGGCTGATGTGAGTCATTCCATATAGATATCCGACGGGATAGGAAATGACGTTTCCAATAATACTTCATGATTTCTTAGCTTTGTTTACAATCCTCCCCCATGTACTCGTATATATCTGCACATTTTCAATGTGTACTTCACAGTTGTAAAGTTTCAGGTTCTTTGGAGAATAAAAGGGGCTAAATATAATTCAGTATTAAAATGAAATTTATTCCGAAATTAGCGCCTCTTGAAATTGAAGATTTAAAAAAAGTTAAAGTAAGAAATATGGACCCCAAAGATCTCGATGCTTACGGAGTTATCCATATATATTCTTCTCATCGTATCATAAACTACCGCTCATCAGTATATTTTCCGAAAGAATATTATTTTCAAACATTTTACTATGCTTTGAAATAAATAAATAAAAAGAGAAATGCCCATAACATTAAACGAAAACGAGAAACGACTACATAGAAATATCAAAATTAATAAACCACAAGTTGAGTAACGTTTTAGCTCAAAAATATATGTATGTCAAACACATAGTTAACAGGTTGAAAGATTTATATGGGTCGTGAAAGCAATTCATCGCATAAATTGATGAGGGATATCACAAATTAGTATCAAAGTGGTGCCAACCAATATCTGAACAACAAGAGGAAATTTAAATGAGGACTTCGTCTGAACGAATCATTGGATTGACGTTGTACGAAGAATTGCGGCCACATTAGGGGTTGTGCTCCCGTGACCGCACTCAACCCCAATTACCGATTTCGAAAGAGTCATGAATATGATTGATCACCCGGAGTGACCCACTTGTCGGACGTATCCCACGTGTCCCGCTTGGAAAGTGAGGCACTACATATATCAATTTAATATGTTCTGTTCGTAAACATAGTTCGCAGAAAACTAATTAATCATGTCTGTCTCCTACAATTCAAATAGGAAATAAATATTATCTGAATATCAGTATCGAAATATTTTTATAAATAGTAATCACAATAGTTCAATCAGGTATAATTTACTTATACGCCAATTACCATCACATTGGGACAAGTATGACACGTGGAGCTAGTGGGACACGTGGAACACGACATTTCCGAGACATCGAGAAAAAACCCTGAAGGTCTGGGTAATACAAATACAAAATAGATTCATTACTCACGAATCCACGATTATGATATCGTTAACACTATAGCAGTGGTTCTCAACCGGGGACCGGTGGCCCCTAAGGGGGCCACGAAGCAATTCAAGGGGGGCCACGACACAAGGCTGATAAAATTGATTATAAAGCGACTTCGTTTGCATACTTTCCCTTTAAAATAAAATTTCCCGTTCAGCGTTCGCCGCTGTTTCATTGTCTGAATAGGTTATTTGAGTTCGCAGGGTGTATTCACTTTCTTGTGTGTGAATTGTTTGATCATAATGGGATTTGGAATCTACCAATCAAAAAAGTTCGCCGGCAAGCCGTCTATACTGTAGTTTTCACTAGACTGCGAGATAACCCATTTATAAATTCCTAATGCCCATATTACGATAACAGAGAATTTGCTCAATGCTTGTATCTAATGAGCAATGAATCATTACATCTATACCATCTCCGAAACCACCGTGACACCCCCCCCCCCCCCCCCCCCTTCCAAGAGCCCGAGTTAGATTGACAAGGAAACAACGTTGGCCAAGTTGAAAAGCCCGCTCTTGAATGCAGCTATGGAGTGGCATATCACATTCTTACCCACTACTTAGCAAAAAAGCTGCTTCACTGCTAGTTCAATTTTCCGCAACTTATCTGTGCGAATATGGTTCTTCTGATCTTGTTACCATCAAAACAAAATCTAGAAAACCGTCTTGGTGTTGACAGTGACATTCGTTTATCTATATCAAAGACGGTTTCTAATATAAGGAACCTCGTCTGGCAGTCCCAAGTGCAAGACTCTCATTATTTGTATACTAAAAAGCTTTTACTTTATTGTCTGCGATTTGATTTTGAATTCTATAAAAGGTCGTTAAAGCATAATACAATCCAACACGTTTAGTTTTTTGAGATGGCGAACAGGGGGGCCACGAGTGCAGAAAGGCGCTGGAAGGGGGCCACGAGCCATAAAAGGTTGAGAACCACTGCACTATAGGCTCCTATCTAATTGTTCCCATCTCTACAACCCAGACGTTCATGGTGCAGCTCTTTTCGGTCCTACTGATTTCAAGCGCTATAAGCTTCTCAGCGATATATTCAAATTCATACTCAATTCCTTCTGTAAAACTTTTATTGCACATCGTTCCGATTTTGTTCCTATTTTCATATTCGTCGCCACTTATCCTTTCATAATACTCACATATTTACCCGATTTTTTAAATTTCGAAATACATAAATTATATCAATTCGAAGAAAAATTAGGACTAATATGATAGCCCTGTAGGTGGAATCAGTAAGCGTAGGGTAATATTTTTCAAAACGGCTCCGAGTTATTGGGTATTACTTGTGGCTTGTTCTAAACTACACTTTGTGATATCACTTTTCAATTCATGTGTTTTTGCAACCTCCATAAAACTTTTAAAATGTCAAGACTCAAGAGTATGTATTTAAAAACAGAATGTTTTTTCAGAATTGATAACAACTAAAACTCTAACTGTGTGCTATCAAACTCCTCCATTATGGCGTTAGCCGCCGCTATGAGGCCATAGGTTCCAGCCGTTCAGGGTTTGAAATGGGCAGAGGATTTCTAACCAAGTTCGGTTGTTAGACGAATACCGGTACTACGAATCAATAAGAGTTCGAAAAAAAATCATGAAAATAATGGATATGCCGTCAATACTTTGTATTTTGCAATTTGCCCATTGATATTAGAAAAATATTTGGTGGACCGGCAGCAACGTTGCCGCGAACCGGCATCGGTCCGTGAACCGGCGGTTGAGAACCACTGCTCTATATAACGAGAAACACATGCTTCTCATTCGGGATACACCATTGTTACACAACAAAGAAAGTCACACCACAATGGTAATATTCTTAAACCATGCATAGTATAGCTTCCTCTTTATAAAGTTCCTAATGCGCTCCTGGTTTTAACCGCTTTGTACGGTGTGGTTCGACGGGAGCTCACAGAAAACTGTAGGGGTTCGACAGGCTCACAAAGGTTGAGAACCACTGGATTACACGGTCAGTCAGCACAAGATACAGAAAGAGCCAAATTGCTGAACCGTCTTCCAGTCTTAGTATTTCTTCATTGACAGTCAGAAATTCGGTTTACAGATTCACTCCTTTGAATTATCTGAGCGTCTTGTCGGCGATGATTGCGCATTTTTGTTTTTGTAAAAAGTAAACTAAAATGAACCACGATTAAAAAGGGGATATCATATTATTTGCACAAATATCCACACATTCAATATTTAAAGCAGCGCACAGTCCCGATGAACTTCGATCGGTATGAATACACCTGCTCCAGGTCAGCCCGGGTAATTAGCCTCATCGTGGGCTGCCAAGCGTGACTTTGTTAATTAAGTAAGATTATGATCCTCTCGGTGGCGGTGGCCCAGGGGAAGCGTAGAGACATTGTTAAACCTCCGGCCAGATATAAAGTTGGGTTCGAACCCCAAAGGGCGGACTGAGGAGTAGAGGACCAGCGGACAACACATGTGGTCGAGGAGGGAAGGAAGCACGCGAGCAAGCGGGAGCAGCAGTCAATAAAGAAAGGTAATAGAAACCAGAGCCACAGGCAGACAAGCCAAAAACAGGATAAGTGAGGTAAGAAGATGCGACAGCGAGACGGTGGCCGGGGATCCTCAGTTGCCCACTCAAGGAAATGTAAGCTAGCGTTAGGAGCAAGTGGCCCAGTTAAGGAAAATAAAGGTTTAGAAGTGTGTGAGTGGATAATATGGAGAAAATAAAGATAAAGTGAGTGTGAAAAAATACGACAGCAAGGCAGTGAGTGAGGAAGGACCTGAGGAGTCCGGCCCAGGGAATAAAGCAAGAAAAATAAAGATGAGTGAGTGAATGCGACAGTGAGCCTCCATCAGTCTAGCTAGAGAGATAGGATATGATATATAACGAAAGGACCTCGGGAGTCCAGCCCAGGAAATTTAGCAAACGGGGCAAAAGTTAAGGGGTGAGTTAATACGACAGCGAGCCTCCATCAGTCTAACGCAGCGTTTCCCAAACTGTGTTCCGCGGAACACTAGTTTTCCGTGAGCATCTTTCGAGTGTTCCGTGGAATAGGGATCAAAATTACGCCTAATTTAAGCGACATGCTATATCGGGATCGTAAAGTTGTCGCCCAACGGGCGACCGTTCAATATCGCGTCACAGTCGGCCTAAATAGAAATAACTTTTTGAGGGTAGTGGCATTTTCGTCACTCGTCGGCCTAGTTTTTTGACTATCAAGTTTACAGCATTTTTTTTTGGTTTTAACATAGTCTATATGAATTAGGCAAATGTGTAGGCCTACAGAATAAAGGCACATATACACAGCATTTAAAATAAGAAGGCATGGAAAATTTATAATAAATGCAGTATGTAAATTAAAATAATCAATAATTTTAGTAACATTGAACATAATTCTGTTGGTTTTCGCGGCGCTTTTTGCAACTCGCCACGGTGCACTACCGGTAGTAACGCATCCTTTAGGAACCGTTTGCATTACACCATTTTGGTGTTCCGCGGCGCGAGATAATAAGCGTAAGTGTTCCGTGGCCAAAAAAGTTTGGGGAACGCTGGTCTAACGAGACAAAAAGAGGTAAAAAAGAAAAGGCAGTATCAGAGACGGAATAAAAACGGAGTTGAAGAGAGTGGTTGGAGTGAATAGAGCGAGCGAATACAAATAAATCGGGAGCGAGCGGCCCGCGAAAAATAAATCAGAAAAAATATATCAGCGGCATCAAGAGCGGCCCACGCAAGCCAATGATGAAGCTGAGAGCAAGCAAAAAATCATACGAAATTAGAAGTGCAGCGAAATGAGTAAAAAGGAAGTTGAATGAAATAAAAAAAATGTAAAAGTTTCAGATCAGGGATCACCAAGCAAGGTTGCGATATTAAAGAGCTGCAAAAAATGAAGAGGCCTTACTGGTCGCAGCTGGAAAAACCCCAAACATGATCGAAAACTGCGAGTTCACTTACTTCAAATATATCATATTGTTATGTTGCATGGGTGGCGTTTTTTAGTTCTTTCGCGTGCCTGGTGTTAGTTGCAATGTCGCTTCAAATTATACTCTTACACTCTTACGTAACAATTATTAATTGAAAAAACATCACAAACTGTG